CCCTCCAAACAGCAGCCTTTTCCAGAAGGAACCCAGGTGGACTGGTTTTCTGCCTTACACCAGGGGAAAGGTTAACCTCTTTTTAAAATAGCCATATGCTCCATAGCCCTGGAAGAGCCGTTATCCCAGAGAGCAGGGTCGCTCATGCCAAGCAAGGAGAGAAGCTACAGAGGAAGCAGGACCTTCCCAGCAGGTTTTTAGCCTCCCGAAGACCAGCAGGCACAGCGCCTCAGTGCATCCCAGCAGCCAGCCCTCTCCCAGGAGGTGCCCCTGCTCTGCTTCGTTCGTAGTCAGTTGGGCTACTGTGATGGCTCCCGACTCACTTGGAGCAGACCCTAGTGCCTGATCAGTGCACCCCAAGGGTCTGTGGAATGAACAAGTAAGTCACTCAGCAGGGTAGAGTTAGGTAGTGACAAGTGTTGTGAAGGAAAGAAAGAATACAGTGAACAACTGTGTATTGGCGACTTCAGACAGGCTCCACTCTTTGGTTTGTTCTATTTGAACACAGAACCTTACACATGCTAGACAGAGGCTCTACCGCTACACTCTGCCCTTAGCCCCCGAGGCTCCATGCCTTGGTGCCCCATGTCCTCCACTGTAAAGGAGAGTTGAGGTCCAGAATTCTAGGTAAAACTTAGGCCAGGGCTAGGACTAACACCCGCGGGCTCCTAGCCCTCTGCCTTGAGCACAGGAACTCTGAAGCCACTGAGGTACAAAGGGAGAGGCTAAAACCCTCCTTGCAGAGTTCTGCAGAGGACAGGCAAAGACCGCAGCTGTGAATCCGCTGTGACCAGAAGTCAGTAGAAACTCCACAAGCAACAGCTGTGAAGATGGTGATGCTTTCCAAGGGGAGAGACTCAAGGCCAGAGTGAGGTCTCTGCGGAGAGGAGTCTTGGCCTACATAGTGACACCTCACAGGGTACTTGAGGGGAGCCAACAGCCTCGCCACATTTGAGATCAAGTCAGCCGCGCTCTGCCTTGGGACAGGGCAGCCCGAGCAGCCTGATCACACCTCACATCTACCCACTTCCTGCAGCAGCATTGGGTGGGAAAGGAGGCTGGAGTCCCAGGCCCTGCTTGCAGGAGTCGCCCACTTACACTGGAGGCACAGAAGTCTTCTGTTCCCTTCTCTAAAATATTCCCCACAGGCTTCCCTGATAACCCAGGACCTGAAGGAGGAGTCAACCACAGGGCTGGAAACCTCATTTTTCAGAAAGATGGGGCACTTAGCCTCAAGGAGGGTGTCTGGCTGTGGTGGCCCTCCTGGACTCTTTGAAGCAGTGCCCTAAAGAGGCTTTGCCAAGCTATACGCATGGAGTGCAGACGTCCTGGAGAGGAGCTCAGGAAGTTCAGCACCATGAGTCCCCTTCTACTTCCAGGCCCCAGTCCCATGGGGGTAGCAGTGGGACAGCCCCAAGTGCTTCCCAGAGTCAAAAGACTGCCTGCCTGGGACAGTCACTGCCGAGCTCTGGTGGCCAGGGTGGGGATCTAGGCCGATGCAAGGAGCTGAGTCCACCTGTACATCACCTGGGTTCCAGGAACAACTTGGCTCAGGACCTTGTTGAGTATCCAGACTCCCTGGGACACCAAGGACAAGGAGCTGAACTATCACTGCCTGCTCCCTGCTCAGAGACCTCAGAGCCACCTCCTGCCTGACCCCCGTCAAGGTCCCAGGGCCCACTGTGCCTCGTGAAGATCAAAGGCCTGCACTGTCTGGGGAATCCCAGCAAGAGACCTTCCGCAGTTTTACAGATGGCATATCACCAATAACAAATTGTGAAGTTGAAAGAAGTTTTTTGGTTTTAACCATCCAGCAGAAAAGTATAAAAATGAAGTATAAGAAGTAAAGCCATGGTGTTATGCTGAGCTATAGGAGACTCAGGTCAACAATTTCTGACATTGCTGGTCAAGTGGAAGACCCAATACTATTACAAACTACTGGACTATTCTGCAATATTTTGCTGAGTTCACACACCTATAATATTCAAATTATGGAACTAAACAAAAAGGGGATACAGATGAATGTCCATTTTGTATCTGTGTATTCAAAGTGGTTAGGATAGATAGATAGTTACATTCTCTTAATGAATAGAGGGATTTGTTCTAATAGTGTTTGTAAATAGGATATCATGTCTGCATCTTGTACAGCAAATAACCACTAGGAAGAGAGTATGCAATGTGTTAATTATTGAAACTGTCCTACCAATTTGATTTGAAACTGTCTCATTGCTACTTATTCCTCAATAAAATTATGAAAAAAAAAAGTTTTTGGGAATATGAAGGAACAGTGGCTCAACCATGCTAGAAGCAAACCTGAGTTATCTGACTTTGTTTCCTTTATTAAAAATGATATTAGAGGACTGGCCAGATAACTCAGTGGATTAAAGTACCTATTTAGGCAGATTCAGGCTCAGTGGGTCCATCCCTGGTGTGCTGTGCTGGCCCTGCAGCCAGGGCGCACTGAGGCAGCAATTGAGGTTGGGCGTGGTGGCACACACCTATAATCCCAGCTCTTGGGAGGCTGAAAACAGGAGGATCACTACAAGTTCAAATCTGTGTAGTGAGACCTGTAGACCCTGTGCTAAATACATTTTTAAAAAAATATTAGAAAATCCTTGTCAAGAAATGAGTTGGAGAGGGGCCAGGGAGATGGCTTAGTAGAATAAGTGCTTGCCTAGCAAACAAAAGGGCCTGAGTTCAATCCCTGGTTCCACCAAAAAAAAAAAAAAGAAAGAAAGAAAATTAGTTGGAAAATGCAGCAAAAATATGACAGGTCCATCAGACAATGCATTGGTAATAGCAATCATTTCTGTATTACTTTTCCATCATTTTAGCTTGTTAATTTTTGTTTGTTTCGTTGGTTTTTGAGACAGGGTCTCCACTATGGTTCAGGCTGGTCCCAGATTCACTATGTAGCCCAGGCTGGCCTCAAACTTGTGGTGATCCTCCTGCTTCAGCCTCCTGAGTGTTGGGATTATAGGTGTGCACCACCACACCTAGTCTCCATCATTTTATTACTATGTAGTTTTCTAGGTTTTGTCATATTGGAGGATGAGGCAATTTGTTACTTGTTGTGATATCTCTACTCATAGTTCAAATGCTCATGTCTGTATCTGATAATGTGTTTGCGGGCCAGAGAGATGGCTCAGTGGGATAAGCGCTTCCCTGGCAAGCCCAAGGGCCTGAGTTCAATCCCTGTTTCTGCCCAAAAAAAAAGGACAGTTTCAATAATTAATACATTACATATTATTGTCTTAGTGGTTATTCATTGTACAAGAAGTAGACATGATATCCTGTCCACAAACACTATTAGGATAATGTGTTTACAACTTTGCATTCCTTTGTAGAGAGGGCTTCCCAAACCAAAGGAGCTTCAAGCCCTGCAAAGCCTACATCATTCCCATTGAGCAGTCAGGGCAGGCCCTGGGCTAAGTCCATTCCAAACGATCTTTCAGTTAAATCAAGTTGAACAACTCTGTGGAGTTACTCTACTATGAATCCCATGCAGTAGATATGAAAATAGATCCAGAAAGGTCATTAACTTATCCGGGGTATTACTTAGTGTTCTCCTCTCAGGGGCACAATACCCAACACCCACAACTCACAGAAGGAGTGGGTCCATTTGACTACAGATTCAGTCTCTGTTCAAACATGGTGGCAGAATGAGATGGCAAAGCAAACAGAGCAGGGGAACAGTGCCACAGAAGAAGATGCAGAGGACAAGAGATGGCACCCAAGGTGATGCCTCCAGGACACACCCAGACACACCCAGTGGTGTACTCCACCAGTCTCCCAGGTGGAAGCCCAAGCCACCCAGCTACTCATGGTCCACCCTGCTCACCATACCCAAGGTCCTGCTGTGTGAAGAGGTAAGGTTGGGATTCAGGCCCAGAAGTCAGCTGCCAGCACCCTCTCTGAACCACTCAGGTGCCCAGATGAGTGGCTGACCCATACTCCCAGGGCACGCATCTCCTGGCTTCATCTTCTCTTTGCCTGTCATTACTGCCATACTGTGACTGGCCCAGGGCTAGCCAAACATCTACTAGACCGTCTGTGGGGCTGACTTCCCACTGAACCTGGTGGGGAGCCTGACTGGCTCTGCACTTCCCCCCAGTTCCAAGAGCTTTCCATGTGCCTTCCCTCCGGCTTATTCATTTGGCCCTTTACCCAAGGGGGCTGAGCTTTAACAAAAAGGAGTAACTGGCAGAGCTGGCTGTGTGCATCCAGCAGCAGCTTTAGAGCACCCACTCAGCGCTCAGCATTGGGATGGTCCTGGGGCTCGGGAGAAAGGCAGTGCTTTATGCCCTAATCCCTCTCGAAACTGGGCGCAGGGAAACACTCCCCTTCGGAGGAAACATGGGACAATTCATGGAGGGAAAAGTGCAGTGAAGTCTGTTTCCAGTTATACTTTCCATTTAAAAGCCAGAGTAAACACAGACACAGGAAAATAAGACAGGGCTCAGACTAAATACACGGCTCACTGTCGCTCCAGCCATCACAAACGGAACAACCTGTTCTCTGCATCTGTATCTTGTAGAGACTTTTTTTGAATCCCCTTTAGGACATTTAAAGTCTGATCCAACTGTACCCTGGCCCAAAAATTCCTGTGTAAGGATTTTTCCAGAGAACCAACGTAAGAAGAAAAGAGGCTGCAATGTCCTGGAAGGGCTCTGCACTCACCCCCAGCACTGGCCCCCAAGCCCTGAGATTCACAGGGAAAGTCTGCAGGAAAAGTCCAGGCCACTGCCCTATGAGTTCCTGCCAAGGAAGTAAAATAAAGCAGGGCTTAACGGCGAGAGTCCCTAAGCCAACACACCACCAGCTGCTCTTTCCAGGTCCTCTGCCCTGAGCAAAGGACTTTGTTTCCTTTCAAAAAACTAGAGAGACCAAGCAGGGACTGTTGGGGAGCAAACATCCCCCCCATGATTGGTCCATGCTCACAGTTCCCAGCGACCCAACCCACGCTTGGCAGAAGCAAATCATGGTAACCTTTCACATACCTCATCGTCTGCTTCTTTCCCTCCAGAGCAAAATGCAAGATGATTGAACTCTGGCCTGCAGAAGGAGGCAGGGCTCAGAGGCAGGGAAGGGGCTCAGTCCACATCCAACTCCTGTCAAAAGAATAAACAGCTGCTTCAGGAAGAGGCGGGCAAACAGATCCCTTGCAGCCCGGCCACTGTGGGCTTTGCTCCTGCAACCTTGGGAAATGGACTGTTTATCTGGTCTGTTGACTCAGGGATACAAGCCACCGCAGACTCATCCCCTGGGGCCCACCTGGCCATCACTACCACCACCACTACTGCCGCCACCCTGGCCACCAAACTATGGTCCTAAGAAGTTGTGGGGCCAAACTAGCCCAGCTGTCACAAGAGGGAACACCTCTCTGGTGAGGGACACACAGGCCACCCATGTTGTCCACTCCTGGGGAAAAATGGGAACTGATAGGTGTTGACCCTAGTACGAATTGCTAAAATCATTATGGTGGTCATCTAACAAGGCTGATGCCCTTAAAACAACAGCCCATCTTCCCAAGACCACCTCCCTGCTTCTTCTCCAACTCAGTCCAGGGTGCAATTTCCTTTCACCCTTCCTGCCTCCAGGCGAGACCCCAATCAGCTTCTCAGGTGCATCTAAACATCTTCAAATTCCACCCCTGACCAAAGGCTATAAAAATATTCTCCCTTTGTTCAACTCCAGAGAATTCCTTATCTTCCCCACATTCTCTCTGAGCCTGAAAGATAATAAAGCCCCTCTCCCTTCTTCCTTCTGTCTGTTTCTCTGCTGCACTAAGCACCTGAAAAAAACCTACCTATGTGAAATCAGATCACGTCAAAGGATAGCTCCCAAGAATGCAGAAGCTTAAAAACAAACAAACAAACAAACAAACAAAAAAACCCAAGCCAGAAGTGGGTGGGAAAGCACTTGCGAGAGTCCAGTCCCTTATATCAAGGGTGGAGCCCACATACTTGGTAAAGAAAGAAGCAGGTGTGAAGGGACCCACCCGCGATCGACCCACCTTAAGTAAACCACTGGATAGTGCTAGAAGTCAGGAGGGAAGAGGTTCCACTAGGGAGTAGTGACTGGGAGGGACCCGAGGAGTTCTTGGAGAGCAGGGTGGGTTCAGATTCAGGGCATACACAGGTATGTCTGCTTTCTGTGTGTGGGGTATGTATATATGCAGGACGCCTTAGACAATCAAACATTGCTGATTTCTGCTGTTCTACACAGGGCAGCAATTGATGCTTAATTTTTTTTTCTTAACCTTTTTTATTTCTTTTTCTTTTCTTTTGTATTTTAGGGAAGGGTCTGCAGGGTGATCCACCTGTTTACAGCCTCACAAGAGCTGGGATTACAGGTGCGCCACCACACCCAGCCTCAATTGCCTTCTCAGCCTACCCCGGGGGGCAGAGCCGGAACAGCAGGCCTGAGGATTGAACCTTGGGCCCTGTACCTGCTTGCAGGTGCTTTAATCTGCTGAGCTATTTGACTGGCCCAACTTTTTAAATTTCTTATAACTTTTTTTCAACCAATTTTGCATGCTGATATCTGGTAATCTGAACAACTTTTTTTTTTTTAAATTAGTACAGGGTCTACAGCGTCTCACTACGTAGATCGAACTTGTCTTGATTCTCCTGCTTTCAGCCTCCCAAGTACTGGAATTACAGGCACACGCCACCAAGCCCAGTCTCAATGAATCTGTGTCTCAGCGCAGGCCGGGGATCGAACCCCGGCCATTGCACTCTGCCTAAGAAGGTGCTTTAGTCCACTGAACTATCTGGCCTGCCCTGAATAACTAATTTGGAGACAATATTATGCGATATAACAGCCATTGTCGAATTCCTATTGTTTTGTTAGGCTAAGTTTTTATTGTTTCTAATGTTTTTTGTTTTGTCTTACTATTTTGTTCTTGTTAGACAATAATAAAAATGCAACAGAGAGAATAAAGATCACGTTGGAGAAGGAGAGGAGGGGAAGAGGATGGAAAAAAGAATGAAGAGGCTTGGGAGATATAGCTCAGCATAAGTGCCTGCCTGGCAAGGGCAGTGTCCCAGCTTTGGTCTCTGATACTGCATGCTGACTCTGGAACCAGGCCTAGTGGCCATGCCTATAATCCCAGCACTATGGAGGCTGGGACAGGAGGATCACTACAAGTCTGAACTGCTTAGTTAGTGAGACCCTGTATCAAAAAATAAATAAAGAAAAGGAAAAGAAAAAAGAATGAATATGTATACACTGGGAGTGGTGTTGCACGCCCAGAAGCCCAGCACAAAAGAACAGCAACAATGAAGATGTATTACTAAATATAATCAGTATGCACTGCAAATATGTAGTGATAAAAATAAAAATTAAAGAAGAATGAAGATCATAGAACACTTGCTGCTGGAGACTACATGCCCTGAGGACTTGGTCTTTCCCACCTCGCTCTGGGCCACAAGATGTTGTCCCGTGTTTTCCTTCTCTTGGGTTCCCCTCCTAACCCCAAGCACCCTGAAGCTCTCTAAGAGGCCCAGGTATGGTCATTACTACTAAATGACCGAGGAGCTGGTAGTGAGGGGAAAAGGAAGACAGAGATGGGCCGAGATGAAATCAAGGGGGCCCCTATTTAAACTTTTCTGCTGTGCTGGGGATAGAATGCAGCGCTCCCTGCCTTCCAGGCAAGCGCCCTACTGCCCAGCTCCACCCTCAGCCTTGAGTGGGCACACACACACCCTTTCCAGTTCCCAAAGCAGCCCCTTTTCTTTACCCCTGGAGACCCTCACAGCCTCAGAGCACTAGAGAAGGCCTCGGATTGCAGTTTCACGTCAGGACCTAGAGAGGCTTTGTGGCCCTCAGAGGTTCGTTCAAGGTCACCAGCTGGCTTGCTCCCCAGGCTGGTCCTGTACTGCCCTCCCTGTCCAGGGGCCTCCAGGAGCAGGTTCCAGATCAGCAGAAGAACAAGGCGCCAGGCTTGGGGCAGCTGGGCAGGTGCAGAGCACGCCAACCAGCAAGGCAGCAAGGGCAGCTCCTTGAGGACACAATGCTGCCTCCCTCTTTCCCTTCATCCTTGAACTCTAGAAGCACTGGAGGGCCCATTTGTGATGGTTCCTTAATTGAGAAGCAGAGAACCGTAGCAAATGAGCCTTCAGCTGCTGAACTCCACTGATCAAAACCTAGGGACTGGGCTGGGGAGATAGCTCACTGGTCTAAGTGCCTGCTGGTAAGCTCAAGGACCCAGGTTCTATCCTCCTGCCATGCCAAGCCACCAAAACCAGATATGGTAGTACACAACTGTAATGCCAGCATTGGGGAGGCTGACAGGAAGATTACTATGAGTCCGAGCTGCATAGTGAGACCTTGTACAAAAACAAAACAAAGCACCTAAGGACTGGCCAGGCAGGATGGCACACACCTGTAATAGCACTCGGAAAGCTGAGAAAGGAGCATTGTGTGCATTCAAGTTCAAGGCCAGTCTGAACTGTAGAGTGAAGCCTTGTCTCCAAAAGACAAAAACAAAACAAAACTGTTGCAGGTAGCTAAGTTAGGTAAAATATTATAGGCAGTCAGATAAGGCTAGGTCCTAGAAAGAGCCAATTGAGAAAAGGGATGGCCGGCTAGATAGTTCAGTGGATTAAAGTGCCTCCTTAGGTAGACTCAGCGACCAGGGTTCAATCCCTGGCTTGCTGTGCCAGTCCCACCCCTGAGGCATGCTGAGACTCCGACTGAGACTGGGCGTGGTGTCACACACCTATAATCCCAGCACTTGGGAGGCTGAAAACTGGAGGATCACTACAAGTCCAATCTGTGTAGTGAGATCCTGTAGACCCTGTATTAAATACATTTAAAAAAGAAGAGGGGATACCTTGTGACTGTGGGACAGACAGACACCTCCAGCTGAGGGCCATGCCTCAGGACAAAGGATAAAACCAATGCAGCCACACACCTCCCTAGGGATGGACATCAGGGACTATGTTCACCTTGAGAAAGCCAGGCAGAGCCACTAATCCTTCCCCCTACAGGAAGAGCCCTGTTCTGTATTCAAGCCCTCTTGCTACATGAGGTGCTTCCCCACTTGATCCTAATTTAGCCAATTTTTCCTAAGCAGTTGTACTCATAATCTCATTGGTTGACCACAGTTTTGTCCCAGCACATGCCCACCTTGCCGTTTCCCATTTTTCCAAACTAGGACTTGCCTCATGTCATGGATTTGCTCTATAAAAATCCTAAAATTCATTCTTTGATGTTAGAGAACATGAGCTTGTCTCATATCAGATGTCTAGCAAGTTGGGAGTTTCTCTCCCCTGTATCAAACCTAAACCCAGGGGCTGAAAACCAAGTCTCATTCTAGGCCAAACAGCCCATGGGATCATCAGATAGTCCTCCCAATCCAGTCCTTGTGAAGCGGAGAATTCCAGAGCCTGAAGTGGGTGGTCGCAGCCACCTCACCTGGCTCCGCCCTGTTCCTGGCTCGGCTTCACCCTGGCTCCACCCCCTCAACTCTGAGAATGTGTGGACTAACTGCTCCTGGCAGAAAATGTTACAGACATTCCCCTTTGTCAGCTGTCTAATCCTAAATGTGTTTAGGGTTATCACAAAAGATGTGCTTGTCCTTGCTTGCAAGTGAGAGAGCAAGCCAGCTGGTTTTCTGTCCTCTGTGATAGGAATATTCACAATCCTCTCTTGGTGCCTAAGGGGTTGTCAGATAGGCTGGTTGCCAGAACAGATGCCAGGGCTTGTGTGCCTGGATGAGAGTCTCTCCTTATTCCGGGCAACTTTCTTAACTTCTCTGTGCCTCCCCTTCCACACCTATGAACGGAGATGATAGCATTTGGATGGCAGCTGACACTTGGTGCCCATTGCTGCAAGAATCAACGGAAGACATCCTTGAGAAGGACTCAAGAGTGTCTTCAGGCACGCCATAATTGTCAGTCGCTGATGTTCAATAAATCACTGATGGTCATTCACTTCATTTTACACTTGCATTACAAGTATGCCTCTTGATGGTGTCAGTCCTGGTGGAGAAGGAAAGGTGGAAAAAGAGAGGCTTCTAGCGTGCAGCCTCTGTGGTGTCGGGGCAATCACGGCAGCTCTACTAGCATAAGCAGGGGCCGGGACCATAAACTCAACACCAGGA